GTCTTCTTCTTCTTCTTGTCCTTGTCTTTATCAGCATCTTCATCCTCGAGGACATCTTCAATCTTGGGCTCATCGGTGTCCATTTCCTTCTTCTCTTCGCCTTTCTTGGCATCTTCAGCTTCATCGTCACTCACCTCCTTCTCACACTCTTTTCTACCAATAATTTAATTGGATAAGCAATGAATTGAGAATGTTTGTTCACGATTTCTTTGATCTTGCTTTCTTCCAAATATTCAGTTTGATCCTCTTTGATGAACAGGGCGATCTTTTTTGTACCACGGCCCAAAGGTTCCGTGTTGTCGTGTTTCGCTGTGAATGAACCACTGGCCGACGGTTCCCAAATGTATTTGTATTGTAAATTCAATAGTAGGTGCTTATACGAGGGTATATATAAATGACTTTGTAAAAGGGGGCGTGGCACATCCTATAGGCGTGGAATCCTTTATCAGTTGTAACTTTGGAACCACAAGTCACACGAACTTGAAATTTGGTATGCAGACATATCAATGGTAGGTGATTATACGAGGGTATATATAAACGAGTTTGTAAAAGGAGGCGTGGCACATCCCATAGGCGTTGAATTGTTTATCAGCCATTCGGAACCATAAGCCCACCTAACTTGAAATTTGGTATGCAGACATATCAATGGCAGGTGCTTATATGAGGGTATATATAAATGACTTTGTAAAAGGGGGCGTGGCACATCCTATAGCCGTGGTATCCTTTATCAGCTATAACTTCGGAACCATAAGTCCTACGAACTTGAAATTTGGCATGCAGACATATCAATGGTAGGTGTTTATAGGAGGGTATATATAAACGAGTTTGTGAAACGGGGCATGGCATATCCCATATTCGTTGCAATTTTTATCAGCTATAACTTCGGAGCCATATGTCGCATCAACTTGAAATTTGGTATGCAGTCATATACATATTTGGTAGATGCTTATAATAAGTTCTGTATAAATGAGTTTGTAAAAGGACGCGTGGTGCATCCCATAGGCGTGGATTTTTGAAGTGAAGCTTCTTAAGCGGCGGTAAAGCAAAATTGGAGAGTGAAATTTTTAAAACTGAAAACGTTACATGAGTGAGAAGGAAGATATAGGTAGTATAGGGAAGGGGAAAAAAGAAGTAAAGCGACGCATGACGGGTACGAGTACCTACATATGTATATATGTATGTTTGAATGCACGTATGTATGTATACATACAGTCAGTCAATAAAGTTTAGGTACAGCGAATTTTTTACAATACGGGCAACTATTTTTTTAATATTTTATTTTTCGATAATTTTTTATAAAAATATGGTTAATTCTACAACAAAAAACCAAAAAATTAGAGTTCCA